TTTTCATCATAGGTACACGTCAACTATGACAGACAAAATAAAAAAATCCAGAAAATCACATTGTAGGATTTTTTATGAATTTATTTGCAAATTATGGTGGAAAATAAGTATTTGGTCACCTACAAACAAGCAAGATTTCTGGCTCTCACAGACCTGTAACTTCTTCTTTAAGAGGCTCCTCTGTTCTCCACTCGTTACCTGTATTAATGGCACCTGTTTGAACTTGTTATCAGTATAAAATACACCTGTCCACAACCTCAAACAGTCACACTCCAAACTCCACTATGGCCAAGACCAAAGAGCTGTCAAAGGACACCAGAAACAAAATTGTAGACCTGCACCAGGCTGGGAAGACTGAATCTGCAATAGGTAAGCAGCTTGGTTTGAAGAAATCAACTGTGGGAGCAATTATTAGGAAATGGAAGACATACAAGACCACTGATAATCTCCCTCGATCTGGGGCTCCACGCAAGATCTCACCCCGTGGGGTCAAAATGATCACAAGAACGGTGAGCAAAAATCCCAGAACCACACGGGGGGACCTAGTGAATGACCTGCAGAGAGCTGGGACCAAAGTAACAAAGCCTACCATCAGTAACACACTACGCCGCCATGGACTCAAATCCTGCAGTGACAGACGTGTCCCCCTGCTTAAGCCAGTACATGTCCAGGCCCGTCTGAAGTTTGCTAGAGTGCATTTGGATGATCCAGAAGAGGATTGGGAGAATGTCATATGGTCAGATGAAACCAAAATATAACTTTTTGGTAAAAACTCAACTCGTCGTGTTTGGAGGACAAAGAATGCTGAGTTGCATCCAAAGAACACCATACCTAATGTGAAGCATGGGGGTGGAAACATCATGCTTTGGGGCTGTTTTTCTGCAAAGGGACCAGGACGACTGATCCGTGTAAAGGAAATAATGAATGGGGCCATGTATCGTGAGATTTTGAGTGAAAACCTCCTTCCATCAGCAAGGGCATTGAAGATGAAACGTGGCTGGGTCTTTCAGCATGACAATGATCCCAAACACACCGCCCGGGCAACGAAGGAGTGGCTTCGTAAGAAGCATTTCAAGGTCCTGGAGTGGCCTAGCCAGTCTCCAGATCTCAACGCCATAGAAAATCTTTGGAGGGAGTTGAAAGTCCATGTTGCCCAGCGACAGCCCCAAAACATCACTGCTCTAGAGGAGATCTGCATGGAGGAATGGGCCAAAATACCAGCAACAGTGTGTGAAAACCTTGTGAAGACTTACAGAAAACGTTTGACCTGTGTCATTGCCAACAAAGAGTATATAACAAAGTATTGAGAAACCAAATAAATTCATAAAAAATCCTACAATGTGATTTTCTGGATTTTTTTCTCATTTTGTCTGTCATAGTTGACATGTACCTATGATGAAAATTACAGGCCTCTCTCATCTTTTTAAGTGGGAGAACTTGCACAATTGGTGGCTGACTAAATACTTTTTTTCCCCACTGAATAAATATATATATATATATATTTTTTTTTTTTTTGAGGTGAGAGCATTTGAAATGCTTTTGGCGGTTGACCTGCTTCTGTTTTGTGGGTGGCACTGTTTGCTGTTTTAGATGGATGGGTCCTGGCCTCTCGGGGGCCTAGGGATCCAGGGGGACGGGGTTGGTATGCCGATCACTGTGATGACAGCCCAACTTTGGATGGGGAGGGGCTTTAGCGCGGGGAATAGTGGAGAACAATTGGAGGGTTACTTAGTAGCAATGCAAATATCATGGAACAGCTATATGGACATTCAATCACTATGGTATTTTTTTTTGCTAAATTTACAATCATATACACTGCTCAAAAAAATAAAGGGAACACTTAAACAACACAATGTAACTCCAAGTCAATCACACTTCTGTGAAATCAAACTGTCCACTTAGGAAGCAACACTGATTGACAATAAATTTCACATGCTGTTGTGCAAATGGAATAGACAACAGGTGGAAATTATAGGCAATTAGCAAGACACCCCCAATAAAGGACTGGTTTTGCAGGTGGTGACCACAGACAACTTCTCAGTTCCTATGCTTCCTGGCTGATGTTTTGGTCACTTTTGAATGCTGGCGGTGCTTTCACTCTAGTGGTAGCATGAGACGGAGTCTACAACCCACACAAGTGGCTCAAGTAGTGCAGCTCATCCAGGATGGCACATCAATGCGAGCTGTGGCAAGAAGGTTTGCTGTGTCTGTCAGCGTAGTGTCCAGAGCATGGAGGCGCTACCAGGAGACAGGCTAGTACATCAGGAGACGTGGAGGAGGCCGTAGGAGGGCAACAACCCAGCAGCAGGACTGCTACCTTCGCCTTTGTTTAAGGAGGAGCAGGAGGAGCACTGCCAGAGCCCTGCAAAATGACCTCCAGCAGGCCACAAATGTGCATGTGTCTGCTCAAACGGTCAGAAACAGACTCCATGAGGGTGGTATGAGGGCCCGACGTCCACAGGTGGGGGTTGTGCTTACAGCCCAACACCGTGCAGGAAGTTTGGCATTTGCCAGAGAACACCAAGATTGGCAAATTCGCCACTGGAGCCCTGTGCTCTTCACAGATGAAAGCAGGTTCACACTGAGGACATGTGACAGACGTGACAGTCTGGAGACGCCGTGGAAAATGTTCTGCTGCCTGCAACATCCTCCAGCATGACCGGTTTGGCGGTGGGTCAGTCATGGTGTGGGGTGGCATTTCTTTGGGGGGGCGCACAGCCCTCCATGTGCTCGCCAGAGGTAGCCTGACTGCCATTAGGTACCGAGATGAGATCCTCAGACCCCTTGTGAGACCATATGCTGGTGCGGTTGGCCCTGGGTTCCTCCTAATGCAAGACAATGCTAGACCTCATGTGGCTGGAGTGTGTCAGCAGTTCCTGCAAGAGGAAGGCATTGATGCTATGGACGTTCCCCAGACCTGAATCCAATTGAGCACATCTGGGACATCATGTCTTGCTCCATCCACCAACGCCACGTTGCACCACAGACTGTCCAGGAGTTGGCGGATGCTTTAGTCCAGGTCTGGGAGGAGATCCCTCAGGAGACCATCCGCCACCTCATCAGGAGCATGCCCAGGCGTTGTAGGGAGGTCATACAGGCACGTGGAGGCCACACACACTACTGAGCCTCATTTTGACTTGTTTTAAGGACATTACATCAAAGTTGGATCAGCCTGTAGTGTGGTTTTCCACTTTCATTTAGAGGGTGACTCCAAATCCAGACCTCCATGGGTTGATAAATTTGATTTCCATTGACAGTGTGTGATTTTGTTGTCAGCACATTCAACTATGTAAAGAAAAAAGTATTTAATAAGATTATTTCATTCATTCAGATCTAGGATGTGTTATTTTAGTGTTCCCTTTATTTTTTTGAGCAGTGTACTAACCAGTGCTGACCCTGCTGAGATTTGACGAGATAGGGCGTATTAAGGCTTGTATGGCCGTAAACCATGGAATGATAGTTGGATAGACTATTTCAAATTCATGTAACTCAAAAAACTCTGAGGAACGAGATTAGCCATTCCAACGTAAATGGACATTTTTATTACTTTGTTTGCAATAGTATAATCCATTGGGCAAAAAGATTACAGCACCTGGTAGTCCCAATCAGTCTCCCAACCAAGTACTAACCAGGCCCAACTCTGCTTAGCTTCCGAGATCAGAAGTATTGAGGCTGGTATCGTTGTAACTCATGGAATAAAAGTTGGATAGACTATTTCAAATTCATGTAACTCAAAAAACTTTGAAGAACTAGAACAGCCATTCCATTTTTAATGGACATTATATCATTAATGTTCTTACAAGAGTATTATCCACTGGGCAAGAAGCTTAAGCATCTGGTATTCCCAAGCAGTCTACCCAACTAAGTACTAACCAGGCACCACCACGCTTTGCTTGCGAGGACAAACGATATCAGGCATACTCCGGCAGGTATGGCCGTAAGCCACAGAGTAAAAGTTGGAAAGGCTATTTCAAATTCATGTAACTCTAAAAACTTGGAGGAACTAGAATTGCAATTCCAACGGAAATGGACATGATCACAAATGCGATAAGGTTCGTATGGAGGGAGAAGGAGATGGAGCCCTTTGGAAGGGAAACTTTCGGGAGGACTATACTGATGTGGGTCCTGAAGCTAGTCGTAAAAGACTTGCTGTGCCTCCAGGCGAACCCCCTAGAAGGGGCCTTTGACGTGGTGTTTCACAAAGAGGCAAAGCACGATGAGGTCATGGGAAAGGCAAAAGAGATCGAAAAGACCAGACCAATGTGCCACTATGAGGTGGCGAGCCTGGCAAGAAACAGCTTCCGGGTCATCACAGTAAACATGTATAACCCGCATGTGAAGGAAGAGGAGGTGAGGGCCTTCCTGGGGAGATACATGGACAAGTATCTCCCCAGGGGGGGGAAGGAGGAAGAAGAGGAGAGGGAGTTCCTGACCCGAGCAAAGGGTCAGAGGGATGTCCGGCTGCAACAGAGGAGGACCGAAAAAAAGCAGCGGGAAGAGAGGAGGACGGGCAGAGAATGGCCGGAAAAGGACCGGAAGGAGAGGTGGGACCAGTGAAGGAGACGGAGGGGAGAGTGGGAGAGGTGGTGCCAGAGGTGGAGGAGCAGGAGGATGTCGGAGAGGTGCCGGCCACAGCCCTGGAAGGAGAGGAGAAGGGGAGAGGGGCGATGGGGGGAACAGGGAGAGGTTGAGAGAAGGGGAGGAGGAGGTGAGGGAGGAGCTGGGGGTTAGGGGGGTTATGGTTTCCCCGCTGCCGGCATCGACGAAGAAGAGAGGGAAGAGGATGGGGAGGTCTGGGGATAGGAAGAGTGAGATGGGCGGTGGGGAAGAGGGGGAGACTAAACGAGTAATGGGAGAGAAGGGGGGGGGGGGGGGGGGAGAAGCTCCCACAGCACTGACCCCTCCCAATGCACAACTGCCGGGGGCACCCACTGGGGGTTGGCAGCGGGGGCAGAGGACGCTGGATCCCCGGTACTTTTTTTTTGGGGGGGGTTGATGGGATGGAGGAGGATGGTGGTGAGCCCAGGGAACCCGGGAGGGAGCCAAACACCATTCCTGCATCCTGGGCTGGAGAGATGGAGGAGGTGGGGGGACACCTGAAGGGGGGTCAGAGTCGCTGCTGGAGGAGATGGAGCAGGGGAGCATCAGGTGAGCCTCCTTTTTTGTGTTTTTGGGTATGGGGTGTTTAAAAATGGCAAGTTATAATGGCAGGGATTATTTTTGTAATGTTAAATGTGAGGGGGATAAGGGAGGATGTGAAGAGAAGGGCGGTCTTTGGGTACTTAGAAGGTGTGGGTTTTGATGTTTGTTTTGTACAGGAGGTTCACCTAAGGGATAGTTGGGATGCAATAAAGTTTAAGAGGGAGTGGGACAAGGGAGGTCGGTGTGGGGCATAGGGGGGGTTCACTCATCGGGGGTGGGGATACTGTTTGGGAATAGGGAGGTGAAGGTGGAGGGTCAACTATATTTTCCTATCCAGGTCTCTGGGTCAGTTGTCTGAGCGTTTGTTGCCTGTGTTCTTTTCGGACCACGACGGGGTGCTCCTGCAGTTTGGGGCACCAGTCTGCCTCTTCGGTAGGGGGTACTGGAAGCTAGAACTGGAGGTGCTGGATGGGCAGGCTTTCGTCAAAGCTTTGGTTGATTTTTTTAGGGGGCTTGAGGGCCTCCGGGTATTAGATTGGTGGGAAATAGTAAAGGTGAGGATGAGGGTATTTATAATAGGACAGTGGAAGAAGAAAAAGAGGGAGGAAAGGAGGGAGGTGGATCATATCCAGAGGCTGCTAGAACTCGAGCTCGAGGCAGGCAACCTCGGCTGGTCGGTAGACTGGGAGAGATCCACTGCCCTAAAGGCGCAGCTAAGGGAGGTGCATGAGCGGAAGGCTCGCGCTTTCCTGATGCGTGCGCATAGTGGTTTTATAGAACACGATGAAACATGTTCGGCCGAGTTCTTTAAAATCAGTAAGTGGAAGACAGTAGGAAGGTAATGTATGGGGTTAGGGAAGAAAGCGGTAGAGTACTGAGAGAGATGGGGGGAAATGGTCAAGGTGACCACGTAACATTTCCAAGGTTTCTTTCAAGAGGTTTCTTTAGAACACCTGTCCCGGCAAGTGCCGGAGGACATTTGAAAAGCAATGGAGGCTGAGATCTCTCTAGAAGAGGTTGAGAGCGCCCTCAGCAGGATGGGAAAAGAGAAGGTGCCCGGGACGGACGGGCTGCCGGCTGAGTTTTACCTCAAGTTTTGGGGTATACTTGGGGTATATATTTGAAAGTCCTCGAAGTCTTGAAGGCCATCCTCGAGACAGGGGTCCCGGGGGGGGGCTACTTGCGAAGGTTCTAGCGGACCGGTTGCGCACAGCCCTTCCCTACGTCGTCCATGAGGATCAGACGTGTGGGATAGAGGGACGCTCTATTAGGTGGAACCGGAGTTTGATCAGGGACTCCATTGCTTGGGCAGAGGATAGAGGGCTGCCGCTAATGGTAGCAGCACTCGACCAGGCTAAAGCCTTTGATCGAGTGAATAGATCTTTTCTTTTTAGGGTGTTAGGCAGGTTAGGTTTTGGGGAGAAGTATATAGGGTGGATCCGTGCTTTATATGTCGGAGCAGGGTGCCGGGTGAACGTAAAACGGTCACATGGGGGACGGTTTTGACCTCGAGTCTGGGGTCAGGCAGGGGTGCCCGCTCTCGGCACTCCACTTCGTTCTGTACATGGAGCCGCTGGAGTTTGCCATTAGGGCAGACACAGGGGTGGAGGCATGCTTATCCCTGGAAGCGGTGGGCTGCATGTTAAGATGACCCAGTACGCAGACGACACTTCCTTGTTGTTATGCAAGGACTCGTGCCTGACTAGGTCCCTTGCCTCCTTCTGTTAAATAGTACTACCTGCGTCAAAGTCACTTTAGCAAGATTTCCAAAGCTTTTGCTGTTGGGTTCTTCCTCAAGGTCCTTCATACACTTAGCACACTCAGTAGCAAGAAACGTGTGCAGCACCGACACATCCTCTGTAAAGGGTAAAACCTGTGGTTTATTCCATTTGGCTTGTTGAAGTGTACCCAATCCGGCAGCTGAAATGGACTCTGTCCACTTTTTCTGATGTAAAGTGGCAAATTGCTTTGCAGACTCTGCAACAGCAGGGCGATTTGCAATGATGGCATTGCATTGCACAATGCCTGCAACTTTGGCTAAACTGTGTCCCAATTTCAAAGCCAATGATGGGATTTTAAACTAGTTGCTTTCGACATCATAACCAGCAACAGATCTTACTGCCTGTATCACATGGGGAAAGTTACAGGGCATAACAAGGTCTTCGGTACTCTTCAAAGGTGTTATAGCCCTTGCCGTTATCAATAGTCTTGCCATCTGTCTCATTTTTTGGCGTATGTAGTCATTCCTTCTCTCATATGGTCTCCTGGAATTCAACAGTGACTCGCCGATACAAAGGATTTCAGTTTCACTCCTTACAACCGAGGAAACGTCATCCTGGTTCATTTCACAAGCAATCTTCCAAACAGTTTCCTTAACTGAGTCAGGTCTTGGTAAGTGCAGTTGAATCCGTTTTCGCCCAACTTGAGGCTCTCCCTCAACAGACTTCTTCGGGCAGTTTCTCACATGTCTCCATAGGGAATTTCTTGCAGGCAACCATCTCTCCAGTGCCACAGCTTGCCACTTCAGTATTATGGTCAAAGTTTAATCTCTTCTTAAGAGAGCGTAACAACTCTTCTTTTGCGGGATCCTTTATTAAAACTGAAAGCCATTGCAACATCAGGCTTTTCACTGTGGATGGATTCGAGGTGTCTTGCCAATTTATAAATGGCCTTTTTACAATAAAGACAAAATTGCTTCTTGTTGTACTTGCTTCCTTTTGCTGTTATTGACAAAGGTGTGACATTTTGTCAAAGGCGACGTGTATGCGGTGAGCGAAGTCAAGCGCAGGACACAGAGCTACTGGCAGACGTACTTTACTAACCAGTAAAAGAACATACAAAACAAAACCTAACAGGGAGGAAACAAATACACGCATACGACACAGCGATGCCGACCTTACGGGAAACCAAACAATAACACACAATTACCAAATGAGAGACAGGGGTAAATATAGGGACTACAATCAAACAAATGCGAACAGGTGTAAACACTCAAGACTAAACAAGACAAACACCGAAACATCGATCGGCAGCAGCTAGTACTCCGGGGACGACGAACGCCGAAGCCTGCCCGAGCAAGGAGGAGGAGGAGCAGCCTCGGCAGAATCCGTGACGCGCGGCCCCAGCCGTGCGCCGGCCTCGGGGACGGCCAGGAGGACGCGGAGCAGGGCGAGTCGGATGACTCCGGTGGAAATCCCTCAACAGGGAGGGATCTAGGATGTCCCTCCTAGGGACCCAGCACCGTTTTTCCGGACCGTACCCCTCCCAGTCAGTCTCCTTCATGGCGGTCAAGGACAGCCAGAGGTGATGTTCAATGACCACCGAAGTGGCCATGGACCTTCCTGCACAAATAGCAGACGCCTGCGTCAGGTGAAGAATAGCGCCAGAAATCCTGGACGCCTCTTCCACCTCCTCACTCGTGAGCTCAGATCTTCCCGTTGTTAAACGAGGAGGAGGGCAATGTTATTTGCTGCTGACACAGCTTGGGCTCCCAACGTGAAGGACTTCTCTGCCAGCTGTGCTGTGAGCCTGTCCTTCTGGGTTGGTAAAGTGGCTTTTTTGGAGGACACCCCGGGACTCGAACCTGGCACTAGATACGCTGCCATGGCGCTCTCGAGCCTAGGGATTCCCTTGGCAGCCCTCTCCCTCCCTTCCACTCTAGTAAATGGGCAGTACATCTTAGCTGGCGAACGCGCCGCTAGAGGTGCCTCCCATGAGCCCTCAACATATTTGCTGAGTGAAGGCATGGCTGGAGCCAATGGCTCAGCTGCCTTCCTCGGCCGAGAATAGGGTCCGCCCTCCATCATATCCACCTCCGCAGCGGGGGGAATGGGGGGCAGCGCTATCTCCAGTCGGTTAGCAGCCCGCTCAATGAGCCCAGGAAAATCAGAGCGTAGAGAGGCTGCTGCGAAGGACAGGGCTACTGACGTATCAGAGCCCGTGTCGTCGTCGCCCGAGGAGCCGTAAGACCTCTCACTTCCCAATGGAAAGGGGGTCTTAAAGGTTTGAGTCTGAGGGTCGGATTGTTCCATTGGAATATCCATCTCCTCTCCTCGTCATCCTCAGATTCAGCGCCCTCAGATGACGCCTCAGAAGCAGAGGCTAGTATCGATAGCACATCCTCTAAGGGAATATGCTCCCTAAAAAACGCCCGGCGCTGCTTCCTCTCCTTCAAAGGAAGGAGGGCGCAGGAGGCGCAATTAGGGGGAACGCCGGTTCCATCCTTGGCATGCTGCACACCCAAACACACGAAACATAAGTCGTGGGGGTCCGTAGTTGCCATAGAAGAACAGCGGCATTGAGCTCTGAAAAGAGCTTTTGGGGGTGGAAAATCTCCTGGTGCGCTCATTTTAGGACGACGTCAAAGATCTGGAAATTTGACTGCGTATCTCGTCCTGAGTCTTCTCGGCTTCTCCAGTCTAGTCCAGTCGCTGAAGATAAAGGGAGGGCTGATTGAGGGGAGGCATCCCCTCTTATAGGGACACCTGTACTCCTATTGGCTGCAGGTGTGTGCATAATTTTGTCTCAGGCTGATGCTGCCTTAGGGCAGAGGGTAAACCAATAGGAGCAGAGCTCCCCTATGGGGCGGAGCTCCACGATATAGAACTACTTTTTAAGTTAATACCTGCAGTTAAATTGTGCAATACGCTAGGAGATCAAGCAAATTGCGTTCTTCATTTCACTGGTCACATTATTTTACATTAAGAAGCTTACCATAGTTCCCCAGAACAGTTGAGCTAGTCACGTGACGGTTTGTAAATATCACAACAGGAGAAAGCGGGAGCTTCACCACATGAGGTGATGAAGTTACACTTCACTACTGTATTCAATTCACTACTGAATGTTTGGCATCAGATATCTTATCATGGCTTTCTGCCAGAAGTCAAAGAGCTCTGGATGAGCTATCTGTACTGCTGCCATTTCTTCCCTGTGTTTCCTGCTAGTGTTTTCCCTCCTCCGTTCTTCTCCCTTCTGTTCAGAATACAGATGCTGCTCTTCCTTCAGAAAAGCATGCATCACAACTTTGTTCATTTGCACAATTTCTCGGTCACTTTCACTTGTAAATGTTCACACTTACCGAAAATTACATCTGTTAGCTAATAGTTATGCTTGTATAATTTTCTGAGCTGGATTTGCCCGTCTTTGCAATTAGTTTGTTCGTTTTAGTTTGTTTGCATTTCGCTATTAATTTGTTAGCATTCTGGTAATAGAGGCCCAATGGGCTTTTCTTGCATTTTTTGCGCCCCCTTGTGTGCTATACCAGTAATACCATACATCCCGGGATGAGAGGAGGACGGTATGACAATATGAAAATCTGGATACCGCCCAAGCCTAAACTAAAGCACAACCATCTCACCCTCATCATTTCGGTTCCTCTCCATCTAAAATGTAGTAGAATTAGCTATTATGGGGGATTTATTATTCTCATAATTGATGGGATGACTAACTTAGAAAGAATGCATTCTGGACTGTGCTGATGTGGGTTGTGTCACCTGGCAAGCTGTGATTGATGTGAAGAGCTGTTTTAGGGGGTAAGATAAGATAATAATTTGTGTCTCCAAATACTAGACTATACTGGTTCTTTGTGATCTGTGAACCATCCTTGGACGTAGGAATGGTGTCTAGGGGAGCTGGCTCTTCTCACCATGACAGGTTGTTATGATAAACGTATGCCTGGCAACAGGGATGCGCTAAGGGGATGGGACTAGCCCGTGCGTCAACGGATAGGCTGAGTAAGTCTAAACCACGCTCAGCCTCTACTCTGATTGGCCAGCAGAGAGCGGGAACTGAGAACTGTCAAGAGTATTTGAAGAACAATCTGAAACAATGGATTAGTTCTCTG